GGGGTACCCATTAGCAAAATCTCGGCGCTGGAACTTGCTTGGTTGCCGAGTTGAAATACCCGGACATACACACACACACACACAAACACACGCACATATATGTACAGACACACATACACACACAGACGGGGTCGTCTTAATATGCGTTTTTGCAATTTGCATATAGGCAAAAACGCATAAAAAAACACACACATTCCGACAACTACAGTTAATACCCTGCCACTACCCCCTCATATAACCAGCCGCTCAGCAGTATTCAAGAACCGTCTTTGAAAAGTCAAAATGAAAACTTTCTGCGTAGCTTGTTTTATTTTTATGCGTTTTGTGCTGTGTAACAGCAGTACAAAACGCATATTGTCACGGTGTTGTCTGTGTGTGTGTGTGTGTCCGCAGCAACTTGTCCGCAACTTTCAACTCGGAAACCACAAAAGCTAGGGAGCTGAAAATTTAGGGGAACGTCCCCTACCAACGTGTGACCCCGCAAATTTAAATTCAGCTTCCCCGTACCCGCGGGTAACATGTATGGCCCCGTGAAAGTTTTTTACGGGTAAGTTAATATCTCGGGGACCACGGAGTCTAGGAGACTGAAATTTTAGGGTAATGACCCTCTGCCCACACTCAACCCTGCCCATTCAAATTCAGCCTTCCCATACCCGCGGGTAACACGCACGGTCCCCTGAAATTTTTTTACGGGTAAGTTAATATCTCGGGAATCACGGAGTCTAGGAGGCTGAAATTTTAGGGTAATGACCCTCTGCCCACACTCAACCTTGCCCATTCAAATTCAGCGTTCTCGCGCTCTAAGGTACCACCTACGGCCTCGTGAGAATTTTGGCGGTTAAACTATTAACTCGGGAATCATGGAAAGATATTCACCCTTCAGAGTTTCGAATTCAGCTTTCACGCGCTGGTGCGTAAAAGTTTTAACTGTTTTCCAATGTTTGAACTATTTTTACATAGACTTTAGTCTAAGTACAGTGAAAATCATTAATAGGCAAACATTCGATTGGCTGAATTGCACAAAACGCATGATCGCACCGGCTAGTCTGGTGCGCGTTGCTGTTTTTTTTTCTTTTTGAAGCGGCTTAAATTACACCGAGCGACCATCTCCATCTGACAGCGCGGGTTCTTCCTCAGCCTTTTTTCCCTCTGTGTGCTACCATCCCAAAAGTACACATCAGGACACATCGTTCTTGAATCTAGAATAAAAGCAGAGGCGCCGCATGCTACCTTTTTCTCATCCCTTGTTCTTTAACAAGGATACACGAAATCTAAGAAAATGGATAGGAAGGATTCTGAACCATGGCAGTTTAGTTCAACTCATTGTCACGCCTGCCACAATTGCATTATCAATTCAAGATCAGAACGGGAGCAGCGCCATTTCAGTGCACCAGTAGCAACGGATTTGTTTGCGAACTTCTAGTATGGGGAATGTAAAAGTACCATCCAGTACAAAATTTTTCGATATTTGTCTCTGAATCGAGTGGATCAGAAACTGTTTGCTTAGAGGCAGCCATCAAAAGGAAACAACGAAAATGCAGCTCATACATACATACACGCACATACATATACACACACACACACACACAAACCAAACAAACTCATTTTAGACCACCGAACACTCTGTTCCAGCCAAAGTCGTAATTAGAAAAAATTATTTATTTTTTGCCTCATATACCAGCAAAACACACACTTCCTGCAAAGGCGTAGCAACTTCTTAAGCGGTTTTAACGAAATAAAGAAGAAAACTAATGCAGATGGCGGGACACAAATCTGAGGCTGAAAGAAAACAAATGCTCGTCCTTAGTGAAGGATAATACCACCAGGTTCAGTGAGAAAGACGCTGGAACTAACCGGAATCCTAAAACAAAAGCACTGGAAATCTTCCAATGAATTTAACTCTACAGTGAATGTATGTGCAAAGCATGTAAACGAATGGGCATATAAATATCACTGAATTATTTTGATGTGAATTTTGCACTGCACAATAAAAAGCTACAAACTCATCTTTTTTTTAATATATTATTTTAACCACATTTCTGAAAAATTCTTATCAGACACACACAAAACTACGTGAGCCAGCAATAAAAAATTTCTTCCTCAAAAAATTGGTGTTTTTCTCAAAGAGAAAAAAAAGAAATTGGAAACAAAAAAGAAGTCGCAAAAAAACGAATTTTAATTCGGAAAAAACCAACGATCATAGTAAAAAAAGAACAAGGAACGGATAAACGCGTGTGATTCAGAAAGCACGGGAAACATCAGATCTGTTTACTGCGCATCCCTCAAGATTTCAGTACTTTTTTTCGAATTCCAAAATAAAGTAAGAGTAAAAAACACCCTTCCCCCTAACAATATTTCAAAATAGGAACTATCAAATAGCATTTAGCAAACGAAGCAACGCGGGAAAACTGCTCCCAGAAGAAAATTCGCGGCATAAAAATTTTACACTATCGACCTGACAATGTGACCGTTTGAGATTCATGGAGCAAGATGTGATTTCAAAAGTCTTGCTGAGCAAGCTATGCCTATCAGCCCACAATAACAACGCTTAAACGTGAACAAATTCAAGAACAACTTCCTTCCCTCTCGCTCTCTGAAGAGTGGGTTTTATGCCAACAAACAAGCGTGAATTTCAGGATGCGCTCCCGCAAAAACAGATGAACCAATACTTTAGCAGAATAGCATAATTGCCCTAAGTTGTACTGAGAGACAACAAAACATGCAATTATGAAGGAAGCTTATACAGTCCAGGATAACACATATAGTACTACCTAAAAATGTAATAAATCAAGGACACCATCGAGAAGCATATGAAAGAATCCGGTCTCGTTAAAATATCATTTCTTTCCTAATCAAAATAATCGTAAAACAGTCAAAATCATTGTAAAAAATCCATCCCCAGGTAAACGTTAAATGTCCGGTAAAAGCAAGAACTGGAAAAAAAATCCTTTATGTATTGCATATAAAATGTTGTTTTATTTTTTTTTTTTTTGCATTTTGGTTGCACTGTTTATGATCTGCAAAAAAGTAAGTGAAAAATCATTTTAAAAAATTCCAAAACTCATAAAAGACGAAGCATAAAATACGAAAAAAATTTTTCGCCTAATGAAGTGTTAATACGGAAGCTGCGAGAAAAAACTGGGATTGAATGAAGTGGACTTTCACTTAAAAGCAAATTACGAAAAACTGGATGCAAACAAAACGAAAAACTAAACCGAAAGGATTAATGACCGAAAAAAACAACTCCAGCTGACACTTTTTGCGAATAGGACTAATCTTAACATCTCTGCTAAAAAATTCCAATTTCCTCACGATTTTGAGGCGAAAATACGGTAAAATCACACGAACATACATTTCCCTTATACATCCCTTCCTCCTATCCCCGCTCCTCACGAAATTCTCTTGCCGCTCAATCCCCATCCCCAACAAAAATTTATTCAACAATTCGGGCTCGTGAAACTTTTTTGTTCTACTTTTCAAAATGCTGGCAGACACGGCGCAGTGGGATAGCACTGTTGTCATGCATAGGTCGAAGGTCCGACTCTGTCGGTGGAGCAATCAATCCCTCTACGACTCCTTTCATTGGTAAATTGGTAGTGGGATATGCAAGGGAGTCAAATCAGCCATTAGCTTGCCTGTAAGTGTCACCGGCAGTCTTGCCAGTGGGTGGTTTCTGTTGACGCTTATTGCCACTTGGGCTACTTCCCAAACGTCTCCGACCCTTACTGAGAGCGAAATACTGAGGCAGCTTTTCGAAAATACCAATGGTGCAAAGTTAATTATGGATAGATTGTAAGTAGGAGGTAAATGATGACTGCCAGCAAGGGCTCAACACAGCTGGGTGCTTCTAGCTCGACAGCTTTTAGCATAGTGGATTACATTCTGTGAAGGAAAAAACCAACAAAGAGTGCGGTAAAAAATGCAATATACTGATTCAACATGAGTTACATGAAAGCAAGCACTTCTTCACACTGCTTCGTTTTTGCTTCAAGGAACAGGAGTATCGGCCGCTTCCTCTTCTTTTTCTGTCTCATAAATTCAATTCCTGTGCTATTTTCGAGGCAATATTCTTAAAGCCAATCGATGTGCCCGATATACGTTTAAATCGCACACCATTTAAGCTTAACCTGGGCAATTTACATACCTGAAATTAACAACCATTCATCCTCGCGTTTCACGGCTGTTTATATCAAAGTGAAAATGCCCACAAAAAAAAAGCCACCTAACAACTCAAAATGCCCATAAAAAATAACCAATAATCTCAATGTCCACAGAAAATAGCTAGCAAGCTGGTTAACTGCACCCAGCGGCAGTTTGACCAATATAGTAAATAGCATAAAGTTTGACTATCCAAAGATTCGTCAACCTCAAATTATCAACAATTCTGATAAGTTCTATTTTCAGAGAATTTTTTTCCAAGCTAGAAAACGCACCTAATGTACTGCTAAAATCTTACACTCTTCGCACTTTTAATTTTTCTTTTTCAAGCACTTTCACTTTTATACAAGAAATCACTCACTTCCATTTCCCACTGTACCAACGAGTCGGTGTTTGGGTCGCCATGTACACATAACAATAAGTAACGTTCACGCTGCTCATAATCGCAGTTATTTTGATCAAGAACTTTACGAATTTCTCTGAAAAAACAATGCGGTTTTTACTGGAAAAATATCTCCAATTTCTGGAAAATTTCCTAATATTTCATATGTTTGGAAAGGCTTAAGAGGGCATGTTCAGCTGCCGGAAAAATGCTTGGGCATATTTATCAAGGCGGGTTGAATCTCAAAATCCCCAAAGCATTCTAGTACCAATTCGCCATTAAAATGAGTGTCTGGGTTTTCCCAGCGGTATGTTTCTGGTGAATCTTGCTTCACATAATTCAAGCAGCGGCATCACGACTACTAATTGAATGTAGCATGGGAAACTAAACGAGATGCATAACAGATATCTGTTTTAAATTTTCCGCAAATGTGAAAAAATTCAAAACCGAGAAGAACGAGAAAATTTGAAAGTCGAGAAAATCTGAAAGAAGAACTAACTTCATCATTTCTTCAGGCGCCAGTGAACTGGTTGTTTTCATGCTCCAAGTAAATCTTAGCGATCGCGGTTTCACTTCATCACCATTTGATACACCCCCAGCACCGGCTCCAGCTACAGCAACTGCTGCTGCCGCCGCATTCGTACCCATTGTAAATGAAGTATGATGCTGTTGCTGCTGTGGTTGCTGACTGGCGTTGAGCTGCGCAATTGCCATAGCACCACCGGTTGCTGGTCCAATGGTACCACTCCTGCCGCTATGTCCAACACCACTAGCCGCTGCAGTAACAACGCTACCACCAACAGTAGCTCCGGCTGCTGCCGCTACTGCAGCACCTGGTCCCAATGGCGCCGCTGGTAACATGGTGCCAGTGAGTGCTGAACCTTCGGCGATCCCCATAATCGGTGTCCTGCACGATGATTGCTCTTGTTGACAGGGTAAAGAGATCGGTGAAACACGTGTTGGTGTCTTTTTACCGCTACTGGTACAAATGGTACCAGCAGCCGCAGCGGCATGCTGGTATGCTGTAGGTAGCTGTTCAACACCAAATGTGCTGGCACCAGTACTCGAGTTATGGTGATAATTTCCGCCTGCTGCTACACCGCTTTCGGTACCACGGCTGTTGGGTGATACCATCGATGGACTAAACGACTGTGTCGAATCACTGGATGACCGTATCGAATTACCATCATCAACACTTTTCGTTAGCAATGTAACCGAAGGATGTATGAGATGTGAAGCGAAAGAACGAACAGTGCTGAGAGTACCATTTGTGAGGTGCGAAGACTGCTGTGATGACAGATTTGCTTCAAGCCTTACAGGAGCCGGTGCATCGCAGCAGCGCTGATGCTGGCCCATGGAGAGGGAATTTGAATGATGCAAATTACTGCGGCACCGTGTTCTATCGTATCCAGGCGGAAGCGATGTTAGGTGTGTTATGCGCTCGCACTTTGGTGATACTGTATCAAAGCTAGTGCTACTACCATCCACATACACTGTAAGCGGCCGTACCAACAAAGAAAATCTCGCATTCAGAGCTTTCTGCTTCTTTCGGTTGTTGTTGTTGTTATTGTCGTTGCTGCTACCACGTCTGTTACTACCAGAGATATCATCGACTAATGAATATCGCTGTTTTAGAGTGGCAGATGATGACAGTAAAACGACAAGTGGAGCCCGCTGGCGCTTTGTTGAGGTAGAACAAGGGCCGGAAAAGCAACGAAGTTGTGGTGGCCGTATCATAGAAGCGGTAGTAGTAAGAGAGCAGGGATGAGGGAAAAACCGAGGACTGTTGGTTCTGATGGTTTCAATGGCAGATGATGTTAAAGTGCCAATAACAGACGATGAAATTAAATTTTGATGGTGATGATGATAATGAGGAGGAACAGGAGGAGAAGAACGATGGTCATTCGATAATAGTGACGGTAATTTTTGCTGAGCAGATGAGCCTCTAGAAAAAACAATAAATAGCGGCGCGCATCAGGATAATTGGTACGATTATGCGTTTTATGCAAACTTGTCCAGCGAGCGCTTGTGCAATTTTGATCAGCGGAAGCTTGAACAATTCTGCCCAGAGTAACTTCGCTATTAAAAGTGTTCACCTCATTACTATTTAATATGTACAGAAATTTTTTTGTTTCCCACATTATTAATTTAGGTGCCGAAATTTCCATGTGAATATACGTCAGACTTAGACGCTCGCGAGCGCTGAATTTGAGTTCGCGAGATTTGGGACCCTCCTTTAAAATTTCAGCCTTCTAGCTTCTCCAACGAAATTAAATCATCATTATTCTCTTATACTTTTAGCCCCTAGCTGCAGTGTCCTCGATGTTACCAAAAGGTTAGCCAAATCCCGACTGCTGCTGCTCCGAACTTTTTCGAATTTAGCCTGCAATATTCTCTGAATCACACAACATTCACTCACTGGCTCACATCCACACTGACAAGGCTGCAAATCCTAGTGCCAGCTCTCGATGAAATGCTCCACCAAAGGATGTAAAGGAAAAAAGGTAACAGAAAGAGACGCAACAGATTAATATGCCAACTCATAAACAGTGCCAAAAGACGAAGCACAGAGGAACTTAGAAAAAAGCGGTAAGTTCTTCCTGCCAGAAATCATACGAATATTGCCGTGTAGACATTTTTCTAGGCAAAATTAAAAAAAAAATCTGAAGCAGAAAAGCCGATTTGTTAAATAATTCTGGGTCTGACCCAGCCTACTGTAACCAACCTGTGCAAGAAGCAGATCATAAATTGTAAATGCATATATCTTTGATAGGTTTCCGGTCAATGGATTCGGTTCTTTTATGATGCTTGGAAAACCAACTGATTCTGTGAATACTGCCTAGATTCAGTGAGTCGACTGAACTGTTTGGGCATAAAAAGAAATGAATGTCCCTCGTTCTCCCCAAACTCTTCAGTCAGAATAATTTATTGAAATGAAGAACGAATTTATAATCCACTCTTCCTGGATGTCAAGTATCTAACTATGGTATAAAAGCCGAGAAAGGCTAAAAATTGAGTGATGGCAAAAATCAATTTCTGCCAACAAAGCCTATGAAAATTTAGAAAGACAGAAGATACAATGATGATATGCGGTAAAAGCAGTGGTCAGAAGAGACTGATCGGTGCACACAAAAATCGTTGCTTTTCCGTGGATTAATTCAAATCCGAAATCCATAGCAAATCAATTTTTTTTTTCTTTACCACCGAAATAGTTTAGTGTGATGATGATGCACAAAGATGCTGGACATACT